CTCCATTTTTGTATACAAGGCCACAAACTCGGATTATAGGTACCAATGTAAAATTTAATGCCTGCTTTACAAGTCAACTTTTCTTCTTGCTTACTGGGATCATTAATACTCCGCATGCATGCAAAGAAACTGAGTGGAGGAAATAACTGACTGTCATTATGACTGCATGCATGCAAGTATTAAATAGGTTGTTAGTACGAGAAAATATCATTAAGTTTGCCTCGATTACTGTTGGTGGTCTTGTATAGATGCAAAATGTATATTCCATAGTGGCCTTGTATATAAAAATGGAGGGAGTACTAAATCTTTGAGGACCAACTAGAAATACAACTCAGGGGCGCTGGGTACAGATGATTTAGCAAGTTGGCATGTTTATTTCATTCCAGGCACACGAGGTTTTTCATAGACCGAGCTACACGGCACCCACTATTCCAACCCTTCCTTATGGACTACTCTGCATAGAGATGTGAGCCCTGTTCTGAAGAGAAATATATTAGTCTGACCGATCAACACTAGCTGGAGACCTACGGAATTTATTAAAGAATGGGCCGCCTAGGCAACTGTTCACGGCATGTGTCTGACTTTTCAGATGGAGGCTTTTGTCCACAAGCGAGCGGCGGAGGCCGACTGCACTAGCTAGCTGTTTCCTCATATTACTGTAGCACATGTCATGTACTCCGACGACTCCACTAGCACGAGTGCAACAGTGGCATGTGTAAGGTGCTAGGAATTGAAATAACTGACTATGTTTTTTTGCCTCAAAAATTTGACTCAGTTTTTGACATCTAACGCTCACTTTTCTGCGCATGTACTCTTACTAGTACTAGCAGGTTTTTAGAATGAAAGAGGATAGAATTTCCCAAAGAAAAGAAAAGAGGAGAGAATATGAAGCATGCAAAAGCTTGTCAGAAGTTGGATGGAAAAGTCACGTTTCAACAGTACAGCTGCCACGTGCAAAGGTTCTCGGGCAAAGGCAGAACCCGTAGGACTAGCAATCTACATTTCTCTATTCATATAGGCTGGTCAACGACTGCTAATTACACTGGCGCAGTCTGGTTGAGTTCTCGTGGTGCTCTCAGATGCACAGATCACAAAGCGAACTGACGGTAGGGATAGGGAGTACCATGTAGCTCGGCCTGTAGTAGAACTTTGCGTACAATTTATTATGGTTGAGAGTTCATGGGCATATGAGCTAGCTGCATGAAATACGAATAGATGGAGCTAACTAATGATTAGTTTGGTGCACGGGATTTCACGTTGCAGCCTTAGACCCCGTTCGGAAGCTCTCTGGCTTCTCGTGATACGCTTAAGGGCGGGCATTTGGCTTTTTAGGTTATTTCTATTCGGTTTATTTGGTTAATTATAAAATTTCTGTTTCTCAGAAACAACAACTGAAAAAATCAGTAAAATAGAAAAAACCAAACCTAATAGACTGATATATTTCGGTTTGGTTTGTCCGGTGTTTTGGTGAACCGGACTATGGAATAATAGCTTCACACGCACAAGAAAATATAAAGGAAAACATGAATGAAACTCCACACAAAACGAACAGTACTGCTCACCTTAGATACAGAAAAAAGAAGCGTTGAGTTGGGCTTTCGGCAACCTAGCATGGCCTAGTTCTATTGAGCTTTTTTCAATGAGAAAGTAGTATTTGATTGAGATAGCTGGCTGTGTACGCCTTGACTTGCGAATGGTAATCTGTGTGAGAATCAGGACCAAGGTTTGCTGGGCTTTGAGCTAGCTAATTATTTAGTCGCCTTGAGCTAGGTCGTGACAGGTAGGTCTTAGAGAGTTCGGTGTAAGTGGTTTGTTCGGATTCTACCTATCTCAAAACCGAAAATGCAATCAAACACCGAAAGACGTCAATTTAAAAACCGCAACGAATAACGAAAACCAAAAAAACGCATAATCTCGGTTAATTTGGTTCGGTACGGTTCGGTGTTAGGTTTTCGGTGTAAAAGTGACCACGCCTAGCTACACTACTTCTCCTGGAGCCAGGAATCGTTCGGCAGCGCTCATGCAAAAGCTCCTCGAAGATCTGCGATGAGGAGTTGAGCTTTAATTCGAGCGCCCCTTGTCCGGTGAGGCTGATCTGCGATGAGGGGGAATTCGAGAAGGCCCCGTTGTGAGTCCGCTGCTCGTGGTTGATTGCGACACTGGGAGGTGCCGCATAATTTTGTATCTTCAGAGAAATGTACTTGTCTAGCTACTTAGAAAAATCAACCAAGAGACATTTAACTGATTAAGTGACTTATTGCTTGATGATTTTCCTCGATGACTGTGCCTATTTCGTAGGTTAAGATTCATTCTATCACACTTGCACCCGGACGAGTCAACCAGCTGGAGATACATTCCGACGGTCGGACTATCGATAGAATCAATATTAGTGACATCGGTCACCTGCTGCTGCCAAACGCGAGCTGCAACGGAGCCATGCTGTGCAAGGTGAAGAAGGAGAGCAGGTAACCGTTATGAAGATTTATGCAGCTGACATCTACGCCTTATGCAAAATCTAACGTTTGTTTCCTTCTGTGTAGGCGTTCTGCATGACAGATTATGCCCTCGCCGCGTTTGCACTTATCTCGGCGAGTCTTAACGCCTGGATCAGGTCAATCGTGCCTCGGTCTCCTCGTCGCCTCGCGGGTGTTCTGTGGCGGTGATTAGTCTGTCGGTTATTTTTTCTTGGTCAGGGGTAGGGCATCGCAAATATTTGTCTATGTGCTAAGATGCATCGGTGACGGCGGTATTTATTTTGGTATGGTATGTAAAGATTTCAACTGCTCTATCTATATAATTGATGCTCTATTAGTACTTGATGTTTTGAGTTGAGGTTGTAATCCTATCAAGTCCCACCATAGATTACCTCTCAGTTTTGAGAAAACTACCATATATTTGCGCCGGGAGGGGGGGGGGGGGCTATAGCCCCCTACACAAGAATGTACATATTTCGTGTTCACCGACGCAACAAAAATAATGTCCCTAAATCCCGCGCGAATTCGCTGCGCACACCCAGGAAACGTACCCGCCCGGTCCCCCACTTATAGCACGTGGCTAGAACCGGTTGGCCGACTTTAACTATGATAAACAATTAAAACCACACAAAAAGATCCCTAGATAGATATAGAGAACTTAGTATTGGTTAACAAAATTAGCAAACCAAGTGTTTTAAGTAATTCAATTCCTTTTTTGCAAAAATTTCATTGTCTTTAGTTTTATAAGTTTGACTAAGAAACTACATAGACTTGTGTAATTGTGGTTGTCTTTCTTTCCCATGTTTCCTAGGTATCTAATCCCTTTTACTATGACTTTGTGGTGTTTCTTCTTTATTGTGCTCTTAGTAATTTTAGCATTGACAGTTTCGACCTCTTCTTGAATAGGATCATAATTTTTATCTTGAGTGCGTTCTTGTTGATCATCACCCCTTTGAGATTTAGAATCAAACATAGAGTTTCATTTTGATCATTTGAGTTTTACTTTCTTCATTAATAATAGGTTCTCTAGGATTCTCGGAAGAGGTTTCATACTTTTAGCTTGCTTCCTTTTCTTTTTACAAGCAAGTGGGACATACACGGTCGGATTTTGAGATTCTTTTAGAAATGCCACCAAGGATCAAAATCTTTATGTGTCAGTTTTTTGAATTTAATGAACAACAAATGTTCATGATTTTCAAAAAAAATGTTCGCGGCATGAAAAAGGGAAAGCCAAAAAATAAAAATACAATGAAGGAATTAAAATAAAATAATATGACAACAACGAAAAGTAATAAAAAAAGTAAAAATGAAAAAACATGTTCATGGAAGGTTCTAGAACCTTGACAAACCGGAAGTGGGATGAATCCTACTTGGGCCGGTCCAAAACACGTAGCGTGTTTGGTGGACAATGGTCGACTTGCGCGGGCAATCAGGGTCGCCAAACTAATACTTTCCTATATACAGGAAGAAAGTATTTGGAAATAGCCTTCGGCCCATCGTGAATGCTATTTCTCGCATTATGCGAGCTCTACGGGAACTCTCGCTGCGAGCTCCACCTTTAACGGGCCGGCCCACTCGCGCACACTAAATGTCTGAGTTTTTAATTTAATGAAAAAAATGTTCATGATTTTCAAAAAA